TAATTATCACAGCTCCTCATAATTTTATCCTCTTGTTTTCATTTGATATTTATATCATCCAATATGTTTATACGATTGTTAACATAATGAAAATTTACAATGATTAAACTGAATTCATATTAATGATCTTTCTCATTTTGCATAAATAATTTCAGCTGGTTTTTTTAAATAAAACTCAAAAAAAAAATTTTTAATGATTAAATAAAGTCAGGTAGAAAAAAAAGTTTACCTGAAACATTGTCATAGTATTTGAACTTTTTAATAGATTGTATCACAATAGAATACCTAATAAAATAGCATAATAATTTTAAAAATTATCTCGTAAATGCTTACCACTCTTAATTGATGCATCACTTTGAATGATATTGCTGTAAGAAATGACTGAGGTAGAATCATTGTTATGATACTGATTATTTAATGTAATAATTAAAATGGAATACTAAAATCTCAAATGGCCTATAATTCAAATGATTTCAATTTATGGCTTTTTTCAGTTATTCCTTTTCCAACAATTTGCATTCATTTTAAATTCAAAATTTTACATTAAAATTCATCCCAAGAGAGTTATTTCATTTTTTGACTGATTGCTATTCATGAAAAAGTACTTCCCCACAAATCCTACTGCTAGTGGATTTATTCATTTTTATTAGAAATAATGCTTTTCAGGAGTTGAAGTCTTTTTTTTTCCTACTTGTCATATTTTCTGAATATGCATTTAATTCATGCATAATTTATAAATTAAAATCTCAAAAATTTAGTTTCTTGTTACATTTACGTCTATTATTAAAGAAACATTTATTTGGCGTATAAAAACAGTACAAAATTAAAAAAGTTCCAGGCACTTTTGACCATAGGAAAGGAAAGAAATAAGGCATTTAATTAAAATGCAAAAATGAGTCATAAATTTTTGCTGTATTAATGTCAAATAAATTTAATTTCCAGAGATGAAGTTTTAATGAAGAATTTGATGTGAATAAAATTACAAATTTCGAGAGAAAATCAAAAACCAAAAATCAAAGATTTTAACCACAAATTTGATTTTTAGTTATTTATAATTATTAATCAATTAAATAAATCAAATCTAGTTAAAAATTTCTGCATTTGTAGTAGAAATACTACATTGTAACTAGAATGAGATTCATTCAACGACTTCATTATGATATGATTCATTGTATCAGTGTGATTCTGAAACTAATGAAATCAATTATTGCTTCACAAAAAACCATCCACATTATTATTTTTCTAATTTCCTTATTTACAATTTCTCATTATATAACTTATTTCTCTTCGCCTATCATATCATTCACTTATAATTAGGAAACTATCATTTGTATTGTAAAAAAAGAAAATGTAAATCATCCAGAAATTTCCTTTCATTTTAACACCCAACAAAATGCTAAAATAATTTGCATTTAGAATGAATACTATGATTGAAACTCACCTAATTATTACATGTAAAGAGGAAAATTGACAATTAAAATTTTGGAAAAGAAATTAGAAATGATCAGAGTTTGTATCTGTGAAAGAAACATAACAATATGCACATTAGGAAATAATTAGTTGCAGATTAAAATATTGATTAAACTTACTTTTTCTAATTAACATATTTTAAAAATTATGCATCACTACGCATGAGACGAAGAATTATGGCAGTGTTAATTTATTGTTTCAAACGTAAAATGCAAATTTGCAAGTTAAATTTGCTTTAGCAGGGAGAAAGTATCACTAAATATCACTGTTGAAATTTCGTCAGACAAAGTTATATTTGTTTTAAATTAAAAGAATATATCACAATTGTTTTCTCACTCAAAGATACTGTAAGACCATCTCTGATTTCTGACTTCATTTTTCGGAAATATAAATAGAAAATCCTATCTTTTCCTCCCTGCGAACTGAACAGATTAATACCAAAACACATAAAAAAGGCAGTTATCTAATATGGAATAGTTTTTTTCAAAATTCGACAAGAAAAAAAAAGACAAAAAGGAAAAAACATGAAAGGAAAAAAATCCCGTTTTACAAAACAACGTGTTTAAGAAATACAAGCAGTAAAATTTGCGAAAAGAAAGTGTTGAATAATAAGTTTGTGGCAGAAGTTACAGAATTTAGGTAACATAGATTTACTATAATTATTAATCAATAATTAATATTCATTAATGGCAAGGAAATCCGTGCTCACTTGAAAAACATACACACACACATACATACATACATGCACATATATGCATCAAATTCTTTATTTGTAACAAAGTTATTTTATGAATTTTTAGTATTTCGAAACTCCTTTTGTTGATTTTGTTGTGGTTATTTCAGTACGATAGCGCTCGGTACCACCTCCAACAGCTGGTTCAAAATTATGTGATCGTTTCACTGAGGTTTTCTTATCATATACTTCGTCTTCAGCCGCTGAATCGCTAATAACCGATTCCAAATCACGATCCTAAGAACGAAATTAAATGATATGTTTGGTTGTTACATGTCATTGATTTTAGCAAAAATAATTTTCCTTAGATTGCTAAACTACTTTATTTATCTTTATGGATGAGTATTTGTAATTATTTTATCGATTGTTTTGTTTATTCATTTCTTCCAACGTAAAACAGTGTCATCACTAACTGTGCTGAATTCGTAACTTCTACCCGCCGCTGTACTCCAATCACGTCGTGTATTACCGATGCTAAATTCTGCTATGCTTTCACCTCTTTCCTGTTCATCTTTGTCTAACAATGAACCAGAATTATTTGTTCCAACCTGAAATTTAAAGAAAAAAGATTCTAGCAAAAATAATTAATATACGTAAATTTAATCAAATAAACAAAACTCATTTGATAATACAGTGGGCATAGTTGCTGTTCTATGATACATGATACTTGTATTCAGTACAATGTTCTTAACCTGGCATGATGAGTGAGATTCGGTTGTAACTTCAATTGGTGGATATACATGAAATTCAGCTGTAGCACCATGAACGTCGGCAGTGGTCAATGTCTTCTTGGTTTCCTTTCTGGTGACATCGGTGATCACATGTTTTTTGACTTCCTCGCGTATGGTATATTCGCTTGATGATTCTGATGTAGAATCATAAGCATCATTATCACGAATAAGATGCACACGTGGGATACGCATACCATCATCAAGATAATCATGAAGTCTCGATACAGCCAACGATCGATGCTGTTGTTGATCATCCATTATACCATTTCCAGATTTTAGTTTTGCACGTGGAATACCTGAAGAAAAATTAAAATTATGCAATGCGCTGCTTATACATTCATGCAAAAAAGAGAGGAAGTATTTAGAACTTTTGCATAAATGCAAAATGATAAATATCATTTGAAGAACTATTCTTCTATTTAATTTCCTGTAAAAGTGTATATATTTTTTACATATTTCCTAGTAGGAAAAGTTTATATGTGACAAATTAACGTTTGTTAGTGAGCAATATGCAATCCTCGATTTCGAAAACTAACCAATTTCGGGATAATATTCATGACCTGCAGCACTCATTGCAGAAAAATCAGCACCACTTTCGCTTGATGTTGATGCTTCTAGGGTAGACCAAGGCCAAGCACCTTTACGATACGTGAATGGTTCACGGTACAATAAATTATGACGTTTGAAACAGATACATTTCGTGCAGAAATATAGTAAACAGCTGCAAAATAAAGAAGCAAAGTATGTATTTCTGAAATTTCGTTCCAAGATTTTATTTCTGTTTCATTCCGGCTTTAATTTGAAAATCTAAAAAAAGAGATACCAAAGTGTAAGCAGAAGGAAGAGGATTGCAAGGATGACAAGTAATATCAGTGAAGCTTTCGATGGTGCCACATCACAGAATTCACCAGACCAACCATCACTACATACACAGGTGATGTTATTAGTCAAAGCATTGTGGACACAATCACCATGCGAATTGCATAGATCGCAAAGTAGTGCACCACAAACTCGTCCTGGTTCTTCTGGATTGCCATCGACATAACCTTCCGGACAGTGACATTCATAACCCATCGCTTTATCAGTACACTCAGCAACACCTATAGATGAAAGGACCAAAAATTATGAAAACTCACGCGGAATTTCACATTATATAACATAGTTAAAGTACCAGAAATTCCATTCATAATATTTTCAAAGCATTTCGAATATTTTAAATATTATAAAAGTTTTGTGTGATTGCTTTAGAATATAAAATCCTACGTTCGTTTGCCATCACGTTACTAACATATTACTTTTTAATACTTTTCAATTAGGTAAAATTGATCATTAAGCTTACATAAGCTTCAATATCAAAATTACAATCAACCTGAACAATTGGTAATTCCCAGTGCGCATTCATCGATATCACGCATTTTTAAACATAAAGTATCGTGATCGAACAGTTGTGTCCTTTTCTCACTTTTCCGGATATCTACATAACCTGGATCACATTGACATATTGCTTGCTGCTCTTGATTCATACATGTCGTATTTTTTGGGCAAAAATTAACATCTGAGCAATAATCCAGAACACAAACACTTCCGGGAATTGCATCTTTGGGTGATGCGTCAATGAACGATGGCAAGCATTCACATTTGTAGAGATGTTCCTTGAAATTATCATATTTCATCTGACTTTTCTGTCATGATAGTTATCAATTAAAAATTCCAAATTCTAAGACAATTTTTTATTTTGCATATTAAAAGTAAATTTTCCCTATTTGGCTTCATTTTATTACTACCAGTTTTTTTTTCTTTTTTTTCTTTTAAGCTTAGGATCGGTATAACGTTTATCCAACCTGATCAATACAACGAGCATTTTCTGAGCATTCGTTATCCTCCTTTCGTTCACATTCATTATAACCAGTATTCGGCAGGCAACGTCTTCCAGGATCCGATGGATTCAGATCGCGATATCCTTGTCCACATTCACAACGATACGCATTCGGTCCAAGATTGATGCAAATTCCCTTCGGATGACAATTATTCTATGAAAAAAATAACAATAATTGATCTTTGTTTTACAAATAATTTCAGTGTCGTTCCAGCAAAACTGACTGATTAATTAATTTCTAAATTTGAACCCATAAATTAATAAATAAATGTATATTTGTGTATTTTTTTTCAAAACCACAACATTTTTAAAATTTTACCTTCCAGCAAGCTTTAAATGGATCCGGTTGATAACTATTAATGTATAAGCCACTTTGACCGATTTGATAATTGTTTCGATCTATAATATACCGAATAAGCATGTGATATACATCCGATGCTAACCGTACTGATCCTTTCCGGAAATAGACAGTTGAATTGAATAGAATGCCCTGATCCCATGTTGCATTAATAGACATCGGATCTATGATTTCATTAACCTGAAAGGCGCAAAGCCTTCATTAAATTAAAATTCTGCATTATTTTGGAAAAATATTATTTTAGAAAGGGAATAAACCGGAAATTCTAATGTATCATTTTTGAAAATTTCAAAAACATCTCACTTCTGCTGTAACAAAAGAGCTAGCTAATGCAGTATTTGGATAGCACTGTCCGATGCCATTTTCAAATCGTTTGACAAGTTCTTTGGTAACTGTATGTCTTGGATTTGCCAAGATATCTGTATATACTAATTTCTCATCATCTTTCCGTATTACCCACAAGACAACGTTCCATGTTTCCACCAATTTACAAACATCAGTTGGCGATGAACGCTTCTCACCATGTTTACAACCGCAAAGAGATCCCGCGATACATACCTGTAACTCAATGATTCTAAAATACAAATGTGTGAACAGATAAGAAAGCATAATGCAAGATATATATGATGAATAACGATCTCTAAACAGTTAAAGACTGATTAATAGCCATTTACTTCTTTATCTTTTAAAATTTTGAAATCAAAAAAATTTGAAATACCAACTGAGATTTTATTTTATCAATTTTATGTAAATATTTTGAATATTCAACCTCTCCAAGTTCACTGTTACAAATATTAGCACCACATGCTTCACCATGTGGTAACTTTGGTCGACATGGATTCAGCTGATCATAGTCAGGTGCTACACGAAGTGGTCCACCACCAATGGCACCATTGGTTCGTTGAATTGATTTTGCTAACTGATCCCATAAATTGCAAACATCAGTTGATGTTCCGGTCGGAAGAAGTGCCACCGAAAAGTTAAACAGTAAACCTTCTGGCCAAGAGCTGAAGAAAAAAAAATCATGAAAATGGTATTCATTAATCAGTATATTTAAGAAACCTTATAAGCTTAAAAAGAAAATGTACCCATGGGCAAAAATATAAAAGGAATGAGTCAGGCAATAATTTTTATTTTTAAACATTTTGCTTTCGAATAAGTGATACAAGATATCGTATGAATTCCACGATGAAAAAAAAAAAGACAATTAACATACCTATTAACAGTTTTCGGATGAGTAATGTAATTAACATCCGTAGTAACATAACGTGTCCCATATGTCGTGCTACTGATTGCACGGCCAATGTCTTTCGCAAACATATGCGTTATCTCAACATATGGTGCACTATCGCTACTACCATATTCTGAGCTATATAACAATGTTTCAGTATCTTTATGAAGGATACGAATCGAGAATGGTATACGTTCGACAACTTCACAACGATCATTTGATGTTGCACGAGCTTCACCTGGACGACACATACATCTGACACCGCCAACACAAACTTCATTACGTTTTATTGCGCAGTAATTGTTACGACCACACGGTATTCCGTCAATACGTGGCGCATCTTGCGGTAAAACTGTCGTAATTTTCTCTTTTTGGAATTCTGCAAAAATCAAACAAAATTCAATCATTTGATAGGTATTCAGTATGATAAAGGAACAAAAGTTAAAGAATTCGAAAATCAATCAATAAATCCATCTCTTATAAAATCTTTTACATTTCTCATATAAGTTTTAACATTCCAACATTTTTAAACTTACACATATCTAGTCCTTCTTTTTTCTTCTTTCCTTTTAATATTACAACACATTTATTGCAATAAAATAACAATCATCAATGAGAGATTAAAAGTTTAAATTTGAAAATTCAAAATACCAATGCAAACTCTGCCCGGTTCATGCGTATTCGGTGAATTATCATAGTATCCCTCTTTACAATGACATGTGTATCCATCATCTAAATCGTTGCAAATTGCAAATTTCTTGTCACATGTATTGTCAGTTGGGATCAAGCATTCGTTAAAGCGACATATTCGTCCGGGTTGTCCCGCTGGTGACTCATCACGATACGGTTCCTTACAACGACATTCGTAACCACCTTCTAGATCAATACATTCCGCATGACGATCACAATCATTCAAATTTGCTGATTCACATTCATTGATAACTACAAATATATCATTGTTAACACATTTACCACCAAGTCTATTATCATTCTCACTACTATCAGGATCCCATCACTTTCGCTATCACCAATATTACACTATCGCCATACAAATCTGCGATTATTTCGCAGCTTGGGAATAACTGAGATTCTGCAATCTTATCGTTGAGATTTTTTATCCAAATATTAGAGATCAATCATCCATGTTCCTTACCTAATTTTTTCGTTCTAATAATTAATATTACCGCTCTGAACTATCGGCTAATTAAAAATTTACAATTATTAATCGCCTTCTGTTGCAAACAACAACTACCTTAATTTGTCTACGATTTACAATTAATAAAAAGGCTTCTATGCATTCGTTCGACGAAATGCATTGTATATCTTTCATCTCCTATTTCACTTAAAAAGAAAAGAAAAAAATTTGGAAGGATTAAATACTTTGGATTTCAAACAAATTCATTTTAATTTTATAAGCAATCGATGCAAATCATATTCTACAAGATAACCATACATTTTCTGAAATATTCAAATTTTTGAAACAAAATTTATTGGAGAACTTACTGTAAATACATATGGTACCAGGATGTTTCAAATTACCATCATGATAACCATCACGACAGCGACATTCGTAACCTTCCTGTTTGTCAATGCAATCTGCGAAACGTGAACAATTGTTTAGTGACGGGTTTCGGCATTCGTTTACTTGCTGGAAGCATTTACGTCCAGGTCTACTTAGATTTGGTGATCGATCCACGGAATTGAGCGGACAACGACATGTGTATCCATCTGGTAAGTCTTGACAAATGGCCAAAGGATCACAATCATTCAATGAACGATCCAAACATTCGTTTACCTGGAATGTAAATATAAATTTTGTATAAATAGGAATACCAAAATAATACAGTCTTATATACATTACTTTATTAAATGTTACTTTTAGCTTGCAAGAGCTTAATTTAACATTTAATTAAAAGTGAACAACTTATTTAGCATCCATTGCAAATAAGATGTGCTGCCAATTTCGATTATTTTATACATAGGCAAAAAATAAAAAGAAAAGAAAACTTCAATGAATTCGAATAAATATAAGTGCAAACATAAATTGAGTAGTACTTAGTTTATTTACTCGAAATAACTTAAATTTACTAATATAAGTTAGGAAAAAAATGAACAAACTTGTTCAACGCAAATTCGTCCAGGTCGATTAGTTTTATCTGGTGATTGATCGATGTAACCATCTCGACAACGACATGTATACTTATCCCCACTTTGTGTTTCACTACAAATAGCAGCCGGATGGCAATCATTTTGATTTGCATCCAAACAAATCGGCTCGGTGAGAATACAAATACGGCCTGGCTTATTTCGAGTATCCGGTGAACGATCGACATAACCTTGTAAGCATTCACAAGTATATGTCTGCTTTCCTGTTGCACGACACGTGCCAGCTGGATGACAATCATTAAGAAGTGGATCTTGGCACGGATGTTCTGGAAATTTATTAATTTTAATTTTCGAAACAAAAAAAAAGACATGGAAGACATAAGTTAATACCTCAGATATTTGATTACGTTGCCGAATAATTTCATAATTGAATATTTATAAAATAAAAGTTTCGTTTTTTAAAAATAACGTCTACTTTTTTAAGTCGCTAAATGGATAAAATATTTATTACATAACAATCATACAGTAAATGTATAATTGAGCATTTCTATCATTATCATTACAAATTTGTAAAAATTTATTCAAATTTTGCTAACTTGGTGGTGGTGTAACTGGTGCAGGTGGTTCACAAACATAGCCACTTTGTGTTCCGTCAGCTGAACGATCAACATATCCATGTGCGCATTCACAACGATATCCTTTCGGTTCATCATAACAAATAGCATTACGTGAACAATTATTCAAACGCGGATCTCGACATGCACTATCTGAATATTTATATTAAATAATAATTTTCACTTCAAAAGAATTTATTGTCACCAAATTAAATAATTTCAAAAATTAGTCGTTCAGATATTGATTTAAGAGAAAACAAATGAAGAACGAGGAAGTTATTTCATAAGTAATTCAAAAAGTAGGATAAGAATATGTATATAAGTAATCAAGTGAACGAAAGAAAAAGAAACAAAGGAAGTATATCTTACTTCGGACACAAATGCGTCCCTTTTTCCCTGATGGTGATTGATCCAGATAACCTGGTATACAGGTACATTCATATTTATTACCACCGAGAGGTTCACATACAGCTGCTGAACTACATTCATGATTTGGTGGACAAACTTCTGAAAATTTTCATATTGATTATAATATTCAATGAAATTGAAAAATTTTTTTGATAGGACATTTAAAATGTATTCAGAATTCTTAGTCATGAGTATTTCGGATAAAACTATCTCACCTGGTGTACCGCATACTCGTCCTGGTTGTGTGAGTAAATTGGGTGATCGATCAATAAATCCATCTTTACATTCACAAGTATAACCTTCGTCCAAATCACGGCATTCCGCTTGAGCACTACACGTGTGCCTTCCACTTGCACATTCATCCACAAGCTATAATAGAGCATTTGAATTCATTTATTTGTTAATAAATTACTTGGAGTAACTTAACGATAGGCTTTTTATTGTGACAAAACAAATGAAACCTATCGGATTATTTCTAAAGTTTTCTCGATTCTGATCCTATTTTTAACTCGACTTCTAGATAGTTTACATTTTCATGACAAATTTCTTCTGCATTTTTTTTGTTTTTCTTTCTGAAAAAAAAAATTGCAGCATTTTCTCAACACTACTAATTACTTGGATCTTTAGAGTGGGAAAGGAAATACCTCACGATCCTGATCATTTAGAATTTAAACCTCATTTATTAATTCGAATTTAAAATTTTAAATTTATGTTGTTAACTACATGCATACAAGTATTAACATCATCAATATACCTACCTCTACACAGACTCGACCCGGTCGATTGAGACGATTCGGTGAGCGATCAGTGAACCCGTGCGCACATTCACATGTAAATGATTGTTCGTTATCACGACAAATTGCATTTGAATCACAATCGTGCTTGCCGGTCAAACATTCGTTTTCAACTTGAATGGAAAAGAATTTAATTTTAATTTGGATAAAGAATTATATGTACAAGTTCAATTTTAAATATATGTATATATATTCTTTCCTAAAAAGAAAGAGGGAATTAGAACTAACAAAATATAGGTAAGTAAACTTAATATTATTACTACATTTTGTTATCCATTCTTTGGCATTAGAAATTTCCGATTTAAAACTTTAATTTATAAATTTTTATATTATTATTATTATTAACACATATCATTTTTATTACGAAGATGTAACTTTAGGAATTACAACTTACAAACAAGACATACACGACCCGGAAATGAGGGATTTGGAGAGATATCTTTCGAATCTGGTGGACATTCACACAGATAAGAATCAGTAGTATCAGTGCATTTTGCTGTTTTATCACAATCGTTTAATTTAGGATCAGAGCATCTGTAAGAAAATAAAATATTGTTTAACATGATTAGTAGCAATAATGCATCACATTCAAGATGTTATAAAATCAATTCAATGAAGAGACTGTTTGTGGGTTCTTAAAATTTGAGGTTAAATTTTAAATTTCAATATAAATGAATTCATCGTCCTATCTTTAGTAAATTAAATTCCAAATAATTTGCAATTCGAAAATTTATAAGATGTACTCATTGATGAGTGCACGACATGCACGACCACGAAATGTTGGTGACGGTGATACATCCAAAAAGCCATCCTTACATTCGCAACGATAACCATCTTCTTCATCAATACAATTTGCATTCTTATCACAGCTAAAAACAATCGAATAAATTTTATTATTTACAGATTAAAAAAAGGAAAATTTTCAGTTGTATTAAAAATTGAAAACCTGAAAGGTTTCATTCCATATATTTTAGTAAAAAAATTTAGTAAAGAAAATAACATACCTGTTAAGTTCTGCTCTTGCGCATTCATCGATCATTTTCTTGCATAATCTTCCGGGACGTTCCGGTTTCCGGTCCATGTAACCATGACTGCATTTACATTCATAACCATCTTCCTTATCGATACACACAGCATTCTGATGACAATCATTTAGATGCGGCAATTTACATTCATTAATATCTGCAATAAATTCATTTTGATAATTTTATTATATTTTAATTTTAATAATCCATGGAAATTTTTGCTGGAAATTTTTTTTTTCGTTTATTTTTTCACTTCTTATATTCACAGTAAATATTATGTCTGCTCGTTTAATGAATTAATTAGCTAAAAAAAGGAAATATTGGTAAGGTTAGAGAACAAAAACAAATCAATGGAGATTTCGAATTCGAAGTTGGAAAAACTGCCAGAATTTGAGAATTCAAAATTGACAATTCATAGGTATTCATGACTGATAAACGATTGTAATCAATTTCATAAATACTTGAAGTATACGGCATGTAAATAAATACGTAAATAAATACATACGTGGCTGGCAAACACGTCCTGGTTTATTTTTGGGCGATATGTCCTTGAAGTCTTGTTTGCAACGACATGTATAGGAGGTTGGTTCATCGATACAGTCCGCATTTGGATGACAGTCATTCAGTTGAGGGAAGTCACATTCGTTTATGACCGTACAGGATTTCGTTACTTGATCTCGACTATAGTTTATTGGACATGCGCATTTTGGTTGACCATTGATCAAACGGCAAACCTTCACAAATTTTTGTAATAATTAATCATACTATTAATCATTATTATTATTATCAATACTATGATTACTATTTTTTATCGCCACCATTATGATTGCTATTAATCATTACTATGATGATGGCTGCAAATTATGTGTTCTAAAATTAATGACTTAATAAATATATTACCTAGTAAGTGAATGCCATAAAATAACAAGAGGAAAAAGTTGACATCTTAATATCTTAAATCAATAAAGCTATAGTATCTTTTATCTTTAAAATTCATAATCTATGGATTTTAGAGATGAAAGTCAGAGTATGAAACCTGAAATTGAAAATGATAATCCGGATGAACTCACTTCGTTCAGTTCCTGTTTACATGATGATGCACCTGCATCGATACGACATTCTGCGGGTGGTGGAGTTGGTCTTGGAGTGCACAATCGTCCGGGCAATGCAACCCGATTTGGACTTTGATCGATAAATTCAGGCTTGCAATGACAAGTATAACTTTGAGGTAAGTCTTGACATACGGCATGCTCATGACAGTCATGCTTTCCAAGACGACATTCGTCAATCAGTGCTGGTCGACACAGTCGTCCCGGACGATTCGTGATATCCGGCGATTCATCCACAAAATCATCACGACATTTGCACATAAATGATTCGGCTGTATCTATACAATCTGCATTCGGTGAGCAATCATGACGATTTTCCTTACATTCATTGATTCCTGAAATGCTTCATATTATTATGCTTCAAATTTGTCAATTAAACAACAAATAATTTCTAATCAGTAGCACTGAGAAATGAGTTTTTCGATAATTTTCTTTTTTTGCAACTTACTTAGTAAGCAACGTCTTCCAGGCTTTCGAGCTGTATCCGGTGATACATCAATGTAACCAGTTGGACAAGCACATTCATAAGAATCCTCTGTATCTGTGCATATTGCTTCAAGGGAGCAATCATTCTGTCCAGTTTGGCACTCATCAACAACTGAAACTTTCCTCAGACAATGCTATAATTGTAAGGATTCCGAAACAAAATTTAGAAATACTTCAAGATTTTCTGCATACTTCAACCTTGGATTTGCTGTTTTTGCATAATTTCATAATTCTTCTAATAGAAGGAAGGAAAAAAAAAACTGACGTCGCTTGCATTTTCGACCTGGGCGATTTTGACGATCGAACGATACATCCAAATAGTTGATTGCACAACGACATGTATAAGAATCCGGCGTATCCTCACAGATTCCACCATCTCGGGCGCAATCGTCAACTTTCTTAGCACATTCATTTTCCACTGTAAATTCTTACGTTATATATTTATTGGTAACTTGTATGCAAAAGAATTAGGAATGAAAAGAATGAGCGAATCATGCGGATTATTGAAATTAAAGTTATGTTCAAATAAAATCTCTACGATATCTATCAGAAAAGATGATTGAAATCCTGCAAGGAAAATTGAGATAATGAAGAGGATATGAGTTAGCAATGCCGGAAATATCATAAAGACATCTCAGTACTCATTCATAGCTGCACAGTGGATCATGTCTAAGGATAGCAATACTTATAGATAATCCGGTGAAGCTTACAAAAGCTCCTCTCCTAATCCTAGATATATATATATATAGAAAAAATCCGACAATTTTTACAATCAAGCAAACTGCATCTTCTTCGTCTCTCTGTCACCATCAGACGACAAAGACAATATTCCTTCCTTCAGCTAAATACATTTCCTACAGTCATATCCACAACTCAAGGAAGGACGGACCCTTATATCTCAATCATTACACAATATATCAACAAATCGATAGTCAACTATTATCGAAGATAACGATAAGGAATTTGTTAGTTGATCATATTGCTTGTTGTATAATTCATTTACCATTGCTTATCAATTTACCACTTATATATTTTATATTGGATTACTGAAATTAAAGCTATGTTCAAATAAAATTTCCACAGTATCTAACAGGCAAGGTGATGAAATCTTGTAAGTAAAATTAAACCAATGAAGAGAATATAAGCTAACAATGGACAGCATAACACAAAGACATCTCAGTAACTACACCATGGACAATGATATCCATTGTACCTATACAATGGATAATGCCAAAGATCAGCCATACCTCCATAATATCCCCGATGGAGCTTACAGAACTCTTCCTAATCCTTATATATATAAAAGGAAAAATCCGAAACAGTTTAGTTTTTACAATCAAACAGACAATACATCCTCTTCGCATATCCTCCACGACTGTACCACAAACAACGATATCTTCATATATTCGCCACTACTGGGCAACAAACTATGATATTCTTTCTATTCGTTGAATAATACATTCCCCGTAGTATATCCCCAACTCAACGACTTATCAATTAATCAACACTCAAATTATTATCAAAGAC